TTTAAGGCACATGACGCCGCGACGACAGCCGGACCGAGGACCTCGGCTCCCGTCCTCTCCATCCTCTCTCCTTCAGTCGATCAGGTACTTCTTCTCATCGTCCAAGCCCGGCCGGTGGCCGCCCGGACAGAAGTCGGAGCGCAGCAGGCGCGAGAAGTACATCAGGATCATGGCGTCCAGCAGGACCAGGTTGACCATCAGGAAGGCCCCCTGGCCGCGCATCTCCACGTGGCGCACGAAGAACCAGGTCAGGTAGGCCTGCGGGGCCAGGCGGAAGAGGAAGTAGGCGGCCAGGTTGAGGTACTTGTTGACCTCGTAGAAGATCGGGAGGGGCAGCTTGCCCAGCCGCATCATCATGCGCAGGGTCAGGAAGATGTTGCTCACCTCCACGAACATGGAGAGCAGCCCGGCCGCCACGAAGCGGTTCAGGAAGACGCCGGACAGTAAACCAGAGGCGGCCTGCAAGGGGACCAAATTGGGGGGGGGGGGGGGGGGGGGGGGGGGGGGGGTCAGAAGAGTCCAAGGATCGGAGCCCTGCGGATGCCTCTAGATCGGTCAAGGCTGACCCCCGCTAAGCCCGGGACCGGCGAGCCCCCTCCCCCCTCACTAGCCTTGGCTCAAGCCAGAGGTGGGATTCAGCCGGTTTAGACCGGTTCTCGAGAACCAGTACTGGACATGTTGAGGGGTTGGGAGAACTGGCCAATGCCTCCTCTGACTGGCCCCACCAACCCCCACTATTCTCTGCCTCCCATTGAGTTGCCCTGTACAGGAGAACAGAGCTGGAAAGCAGGTCAGTGGGGTGGGGAGGGAAGGGGGATTTGGCAGTATATCCTTCCCCTGCCGCGCCCACCAAGCCACGCCCACAGAAGCGGTAGTAACAAAATTTGAACCCCACCACTGGCTCAGGCGCTTCCAGGAAAGAGAAGACCTCCCCCCCATTTTTTTGAAGGGGGGGGAGGGGTCCACCTATTCTCCAACGGATGGAAAGTCATTGAGGAGAAAGGCAACCTGGAATTAAGGAGGAATTTCCTGACAGAGCAATAATTAACCAGTGGAACAGCCTGCCACTAGAAGTTGTGGGTGCTCCAACTGGAGGCGTTTTAAGAAAAGACTGGACAGCCATTTGTCTGGGATGGTATATAGGGTCTTCTGCTTGATTAGGGGGTTGGACTAGAAGATCTTCAAAGTCCCTTCCTACTCTGTTGCTTTGTTATTCTGTTCCTCCTCCTCCTCCTCTCTACAACCCCCCCCTCCCTTCTAACCCTGATGATGTTCCCTAGCTGGGTCATGGAACATATGCAAGAGAGCACCAAGGACCCCACAGTCATCCTCCTCCAATGAACCGGTGGAACAGCCTGCCACCAGACATTGTGGGTGGAAGCTTTTAAGGAGAGACTGGACAGCCGTTTGTCTGAAGGGGCGTATAGGGTTTTCTACTTGAGAAGAGGGGCTGGGCTAGAAGACCTCCCAGGGCCCCTCCCATTATTCTGATCTCTCTCTCTTGGTTTTTTTCCCCCTCCCGAATCTGCTTCCCTGCCCTTCCTGCCTCCCTCTGGAGCTGCGGAGGCCACGGCCTGTTCCGTGGCTGGCATATTTCAAGGCCCTCCGAGGCCTCTCTAGCATCTCCAGGCAGGGGAAACCGCTTCCTCTTTGAGGGCCTTTGGGCCTGGTTCTCTTGACAGGTGGCTCCTCTGGCAGACAGAAGCACAGAAGGGAGTTGGCCTCGTGCTGGAGGCCCCAGGCTAGGAAGCAGCGGGTGGCGAGTTCTAGTCCTGCCTTAGGCACGGAGGCCGGCTGGGTGACTTTGGGCCAGTCGCCAGGAGACCGTGAATTCTACTTCCTCCTTAGGGCATCAAGGCCAGCTGGGTGAATTTTGGACAATCACTGGGAGATGGTGAGTTCTAGTCCTGCCCTAGTCATGAAAGCCAACTGGGGGACTTTCATGATTCTCTCTCAGCCCATCCTACCTCCCAGGGTGGTTGTTGTGGGAAAGTAGGAGGAGGAGGAAAGAGGTTTAGATATGCTTTGACACTTTGAGTTTCTGACACGATAACCAAGGAAGAATGAGAATCCAATCAAG